ATCCTTGGCAAAGGGGAACAGCATACTACTTGCCTTGCAACAGCTTACATTCGAGAAGCTTCTAGGAGTAGAGTTTCCCGCGTTTCACAAACACTTCTGCGTGTGCAGGGGAGTCAAGTGGAGGAAGAGTGGAGTTATTTGGGAAGCTCAACCCACTCAGGTCTCTCAAGATGGTGAACATGATTGACCTAAGAGGGCAGGAAAGACCTAGTCACCATTCAGAAGTTGGATTCGAACCTATTTCCCATTTCTCCAATTCCCCTCCCCCTCCTTCTTCTTTTATGATAATCAACTGCCCTAGGGAAGGCAATATCACAACATCACATTTTTTCAAAGGTTACTCATGGCAGCTCACTTCTGGTGAAACTGGGACACATTTGAAAATGAAAGGGGATGATATTAGTAATTACGTTGGGACGGGAGGTATAAGCTTGGGGTATGCCTGGAAACCAAGGACACAAGGTCACCCCGCATAGCCGGCATCTTTTCACAGCTGGAACGCTCCGTGGTCTTGCAGGGAGCCGTACCCGCTGTCCCAAAGCTCATCGTGCACTGAAGTCTGTGCGTCATGCTTGGAAGTGAGCCATAGTTAGAACCTCTTTACTCAGAACCTATTTGTTCTTCATTTGCTCCAGTAGCAAATCAGAAAGATGATGAAATGTGCCGGGCCAGGCAGCCAGCCGTGACAAAGGACAGTCTAAGCTTTGCCCCCCAAAACAAAGTCTAGAGAGAACTTAGCATGCTTGGGACAAATGATCCATTTATTTATTTAGCTCAATAGATTCTTCTATCTACCTATCTATCTGTCTATCTAGATATCTATCTAGAGAAAGTACACGCAAGCAGAAAGTGCACGGGCAGAGGGAGAGAGAGAGAAACCTGAGCAGACTCCAGACTCAGTGTGGAGCCTGACGTGGGGCTCGATCCCACCACCCTGGGATCGGGACCTGAGCTGAAGCCGAGAGTTGGGTGCTCAACCAACTGCGCCACCCAGGAGACATCCCTGGGTTCTTGAATTTAAAATGATGACTTTCTGGGGCGCCTGGGTGGCTCAGTCGGTCGGGCGTCCGACTTCGGCTCGGGTCACGATCTCGCGCTCCGTGGGTTCGAGGCCCGCGTCGGGCTCTGGGCTGATGGCTCAGAGCCTGGAGCCTGTTTCCGATTCTGTGTCTCCCTCTCTCTCTGCCCCTCCCCCGTTCATGCTCTGTCTCTCTCTGTCCCAAAAATAAATAAACGTTAAAAAAAAATAAAAATAAATAAATAAAATGACGACTTTCTTCATCAAGAAAATGTCAATTTATTCAACAGCCTTTTGCTGATTATCTTCATTGGGCTGGCAGTTCAGATGTAAGGATAAGTCACAGAACCTGTCCTCAAGGAGCTGATAGCCTGGGGCAGAAAACCAGTGAGAATACATAACAATAACGCAGTGAATAATGTAGTAGTAACAGGGGGGTGAGCATAGCAATGCCAACAGAGGCACATTTATCCCACCTGGTGCAACTGAGGGCTTCTCCGAGGAGGTGACATCAGACCTGTGCTTTGAGGCATAGTTAGGCATTCCGGCGGCAAAGAAAGGGCAGAAAGGGTCCTTGGGCAGAGTAAGCAGCGAGAGTGAGAAGACAAATTTACTTGGGAAAGACTCGTCATCACCAGTGGAAGGCCCTTCTGTTCACAGGATCTGGAACATGAGACGAATTCAGGACACCTTACGGTGTATCTGAAGGTTTAAAAAGCTTATCAGTCAAGCTAGCTGACTATTGAATAAAATATTTCCATCCCAAGTATACAAAATCTGAGCATATTTTATCAGAAATGTAAAGCAAATGGAAAAAATCAAACAAAAAAATTTTTTTCTTATATATATTTTTCTGAAAAAAATACTTCTAAGATATTCAAAGTTACCTATTAAAGGTAAAAGGCAAAATATAAATTACAGTTAATGAATGTCAAACACTTGAACAGTAACTATTTTATTATTTTATTTTATTTTATATTTTATGTTTTAGAGACACAGAAAGCGTGCAAGCAAGGGAGGGGGCAGAGGGAGAGAGAGAGAATCCCAAGCAGGCTCCGCACTCAGCCTGGAGCCTGATGCCGGGCTCGATCCCACGGCCTGGGGATCGTGACGTGAGCTGAATCAAGAGTCAGACACTCAACCGACTGAGCCACCGAGGCACCCCCCAGAAATTTTTTTTTTTATTTAAAATTTTTTTTTTAACGTTTATTTATTTTTGGGACAGAGAGAGACAGAGCATGAACGGGGGAGGGGCAGAGAGAGAGGGAGACACAGAATCCAAAGCAGGCTCCAGGCTCCGAGCTGTCAGCACAGAGCCTGACGCGGGGCTCGAACTCACGGACTGTGAGATCGTGACCTGAGCTGAAGTCGGACGCTTAACCGACTGAGCCACCCAGGCGCCCCAGAAATCATTTTTAAAGTGGATTAAAAATACTTAATGGTAAGTTTATCTAATTTTGAAAAATTGGAGTAAAATTCACGTAACCGAAAGGTGGCCACGTTAACCACTAAGAAGTGTCCCGTTCAGCGGCATTGAAGCGCATTCACGTCGTGTGCAACCATCACCACCGTCCTTCGTCAGAACTCTTCCCGTCTTGTAAAGCAGAACCCTGTCTTCACAAAACTGTAACCCCAGCCCCTGGGAGTCGCATTCTGCTTTCTGTCTCTATGGAGCCTCATGTAAGGCCACACGAGTCCTTCCGTGACTGACGCTCCAAGGGAGCAGAATGTCAAGGTCCACCCTATTGCTGCATGTATCGGAATTTCCTTCCTTAAAAAGCAGGATTTTTACACATTTCAAATATGCCCACATTTGAAACATTTTCCAAAAACGTTTCCATATCCATCCAGCTGCTTAAATAGTCAGTAGCAGGGGCGCCTGGGTGGCTGGGTCGGTTGGGCGTCCGACTTCGGCTCAGGTCGTGATCTCGCGGTCCGTGGGTTCGAGCCCCGCGTGGGGCCCTGTGCTGACAGCTCAGAGCCTGGAGCCTCTTTCAGATTCTGTGTCTCCCTCTCTCTCTGCCCCTCCCCTGTTCATGCTCTGTCTCTCTCTGTCTCAAAAATAAATAAACATAAAAAAAAAAAATTAAATAGTCAGTAGCATGCTTCAGGCATGGTCTGTCTGGACCCCCACGTGTACAGATTGGACAGCAGGGTCCATTGCTGAAACGCTGGTGTTCCTCAGCCTCTGTGTGCAATGGTGGTAAACTCAGGGTCAGTTCATGAGCTGTTCTAGAACCCTGCTTGGGAAACTGAAGAGAGGTCCTCAAAGTGGAAACCCAGCGTCCTTGTGAAACCACCCACGGACGCTCTCTGAGAAGAAGGACTTGTAATAGGTCAACTTACAAGATATCAGAAAGCTTAGTGTATATAAGTTCGTCTTAAACTCACCTTTCAGGAATAATCGAGATAAAAGCTTAGGAAGTTCTCTATTAGGGTTATCGGAAATTACTAACCGCCCTATCTCGCTTCTGTAACTTCGCCTGCTTGCTAAATGGATAACTTAGGTTGCAAAACGCTCCCCCATCCCTTCTCCCAAGATCTGGCCTAGGCAAAGACCAACATGTAAAAAGTCACGAACTCACTGCCCCAAGGTATCTTAGGTGTCTCACTATGATTGGTCATTTTAAACCCTCTTAGGACAAAGAACTTTAAATTGATAGGTTCCCGCCAAAACTAACGTCTGTGTGTCACAATATAATTGGCTACCATGAAATGCTGTAAATCGTAATTGGTTAACCAAATAATGACGTATTCAGACTTGCTAAAATCCATATAAGCTCACTGCTACCTTTGTTCAGGGCCATGCTCTGCACTTTTCTCCTTAAGATCAGGAGATCAGGTTTGGCCCGGCCGTGAAGAAAATCTTGCCTCGCTTCTATTCGGCGTCTGGTGGTTTTTTTCGACAGCACCCTGTTTCGGGACTGAGCTGGTTTCCCTCCCTGGGGCCCCCAAACTCTCCGCTCTGGCTGAAGCAGCAACGTCTCCGGTGTCCGAACAGAATGGGGCACAAACCTTCCCAGCACTTGAACGTGCCCATGCCTGTTTCGTGGACAGGAGACAAAAGATGTGGAGAAGCATCTTCCAGGGGCCTGAATGGTGTCGGTCATGCAGTGGGTGTTTAGGGCTGTGGATTGTGTCATGTGACTGAACCCTTATGTGATATTTAGCTCGTGTACTTTTTTTTTTGTAATTCTGACGCATCGCGTCCTCCGAAGGGCAGGGCCCAGAGCAGGACACAGCCTTCCCTGGGTCTGAGGGCCTTACTGACCAGAAGCAAGCAAGTGTTGGCTTGGCCGGATTGACGGGTGAGCCTCCTCATCTCCGTCAGCCCCTCCAGCCACACCAGAGAAATTTACAGTCTGAGGAAAAGCAGTGCGCTTGCCTGAAGATGTGGCTTCAAACGAGGCCCCAGTGTTCCTCGTAGCACATCTCTAGCTGATTCCTGGACACGCGGGGAGAAGGAAGCGTTTTCAGAACAGTCAGTCCAGAAGTCAGCCAGGTCCTCTTGCTGTCTGTTTTCACAGTAAATCTTGTTCTAATTTCTGTCCTTCCAGCACCTGTCAAAGACCGAAGCTCTACCTCGAGGGGCTTACACTTTTCTCTCCTTCTGGGCATCCATTTCCTGGGGCTTTTATCTCTTTGGGTGCTCCCACCATTCTGGGCTACATCCTTCCTGGCCAAAATGCTCGAACTCCTCCGGGAAACGAAACAAAGCAAAAGGCTCGAACAAACAGGAAGTCTGTACGAGAACGGCATCACGGGAGAATTGGTGAAAAATTCTGTTTGTCATCACGTGGGTTCCGAGCACAGCCGCTCAAGAGACGAGTGAAAATCAAATACAATTCGGGTTTTGTCTGTTTATTGGGATTCCTTGAGAGTTGAAAATGAGCATCACAAGGGAACACATAGAACAAATTACCACGAATCTGTCCTCGGGGGATCCTCCAACTCTGTTAATGGACCAGGTGTTAATTTGCTGACTGTCAAGGCAGAAGGGACAGGAAGCACATCTACTCTCCTGATGGATTGTCAGACTTATTTGGCGATGGAACCCTTCTTTTCAAACAGGCTCATTCAGATGCCTGATCTGTTATGCAGATAAACACAGAAATTCTCCTGCTGAGGCAAGGGTTCGAGACCCCCTCGAGAGCATGTGTTCTCATCGAGGCCTATGACCTCACGTTCAGCCTCACGTTCAACTCCTCAATGTCCAATAGGACATTCTGTGCGCCACGTTTTGGGGGGAGAGCCCCAGAATTAGAGCAACAACTAAGGAAGGTACCTTTAGCCTCCGCAGGGCAGTCAATCCAGTGACAAAGACCACTTCCCGCTTCTTTGACAAGATCGGCAAAGTATTTTTTGGTAAGCTTTATATTTTACTGTTACCTGGCATGGCGCGTTTTCCTTGTTCTGTTTGTTCGGAATTATAGTTAACATACAGCGTTATATTAGTTTCAGGGTTACAACATAGTGACTCACAATCCTATACCCTACAAGGTCTCCTGTAACAAAGCTAGACTAGCCTTTGCCTCAGCTCTTGCAACCCCAAAAGATCCTGGGACAATTTGACTTCTCTTATGACGAAAGTCATAGGACTTTTCATGACACGGTCATTCTCTGAGGGGAAGGAAAACATTTTAGAGTCGGGTCCTGCCACGTGCAGGTAGGAGGAGGTTTGTTCGCAAGGCTGGGCTCACTTCGTCTCACGCCCTGTCACTGAAACACACAGGCAAAAGAGGACCGGAAGAAACAGGTCTATTTTTCCATTCGCTTCATCATGCCGTCATTCCGTCGCTATTCCCTGGGTGTCCACTTGGTCCCCTATGGCGGAGGCTCAGTCTGGTGGGGACAGGAAAATAAAACGATGGCAACACAGTGTAATCGCTACTTTGATAGAGACAAGCAAGGTGCCCTGGGAACACTAGAGAGAAGGGCACATAAATGCCTGGGCGGGAGAGTGGGGAGCGCCAAAGAAGATCGTATTTGAATTCAGACATGGAGATGATGCAAATTTCTGCCACGGGAGGTGGGGTCTGCTCGTGCCCACTCAACTTAGATCAGGTCCCCTGTCCTCTGTGGTTTCTAAAGAGGCCCGTTCTGTGCAACAGGACATCTTGCACCATTAGGAGAACCCTTGAGGTCGATTACCTGACAATGCCTTATGTGTTAGTCACACTGTCCCCAGGGCTGGCCATTGACAAGCTTCCTGGCCGGTGACTTGGGTCAGAGTGTGCTGATCCTGCACTGGACAGAGGAGGTTGGGGAGGAGGAAGGCGGGGGTGTCAGAGGGTCTTGAATGTGACTCTTGTGGGTGGGGGCTTGGTTCAGGTCTGGGTGGGAGCCAGTGGGACCACAGGCTGGGAGGCGCCCTGACCAGGCTCAGCGCCTCCTGTTTGCTGAGTGACCCCGGGCAAATCTCTGCACCTCGCGGAGCCTCTCTCACCCCCTCCCCCACACCTATCTCTTCCCCTCGATCTTAGTTTAAAAAAAAAAAAAATCCTTTTGTTCCTAGTGAAATAATTACTATCTTCTAAATTTTATGAAGCACAGATTTTTATACTTCATGGTGAAAATAAGATAACCAGAGTCCAGCCCATAAATGAAGACTCTTGACGATGTCGTGACTATGGGGACATGTACAGCTGCCACTGGGACTCTCCTCCTTTCTTTCGAAGACCTTCCGGGATGCGGTGCAGCCTCAGAAAACGCAAAGGTAAATCCAACCCTTATTCTACAGAGGAGCAGACTGGAGCCCAGAGAGCTGGAAGCAAAGCCAGGGCTTGGGTTTAAATCCCCCAAGCCCGGCCCCGTAATCTTGGCTCTACAATTCAGTCTTCCTCCCTCCTCCTCTCTCCAGTCTGCCTACTGGTAACAAGTTTCCTGCAGAAGGGTCTGCGGAAAGGGTCTGCCCAAATCTACTGCATCGTCCAATTAAATGCTCCATTTTAAAGATGACACATACCGTAACAGTTTGAACTTTTCCGGCTCTGAACATTTCCACCACATAATTTAATCAGATTCGGAAGGAGGGAGGCATCTACTGCCTCAACTGCCCTGTTCTCTCCTCTCCTCGGGGCAAGGACAGCCTGACCACGTCTAGTGCAGGCCCCCCATTCACCTTTCACTTAACTGCCCCCAGCGCAGGTGGAACCCTGACCCAGGGACCAATCAGAATCTGTCCTGGGAGATTTTTTTTTTCCCCCCAAACTCCAGAAACTAGTATCTCGGTGCTGCACTTTCAGGAAAGCATGCCAAGTTGTTCGCCGTTATCCATGTGGCGACTGCCTTTTGAACCTTCACTGGGTTTTTTTCAATGCTTTTGCCTTCCTGGGTCTCTGTAGAGTAAAACCCTAGTCCCAGAATCTGGACTTGGGCTGTTTCCTTTTTTTCTGAGTGGCTAGCAATCTCACATGCAGTTAGGCTCATTGTTTTCATTTGTGTGCAATTGTAGGGTATTATTTCATCTTTTCTGATGCAGTTTTGTGTTTGCGAGTAAAGCGTCAATATGGGTTATTAAAAGGTTCACTCAGTTTGCCTTTTCCACCCCTTCACTTTACTGGTCACACCCACCTCTTAGAGTCAAACAGCTGGGTGTTTTGTTTTGTTTTTAATTTTAGTTCCTGGCTCGTCTTCTCGTGTCTCTCCTTAATTTTTTTTTTTAAATGTTTATTCGTTTTTGAGAGTCAGGGAGGCACAGACCGCCAGCAGGGGAGGGGCAGAGAGAGAGAGCGAGACCCAGAACCCGAAGCAGGCTCCAGGCTCCGAGCTGTCGGCACAGAGCCCGACGCGGGGCTCGAACTCACAAACCGGAAGATCATGACCGAGCTGAAGTCGGACGCTTAACGGTCTAGCCACGCAGGTGCCCCTTGTGTCTCTTTTTCAAAAATAAGCCTATGAGTGTTTTTGTTGAGCAATATATCCCACAAGTCCCTACATATCAGATTATAGAGGTTTTCCCCATAAATTGTGCACTGTGTACCTACACAATGTTTACTGACCCGGTTACTTCTGGTTGGACGTTTAAATGCTTCCCTGCTTCGCTCTCAATAATACTGCAGTGAATAACTTGTGCATTTGCTTTTTTGTATGGTTGACGGCTCCTGGGAGATTTTGAAGGAGTACCAAGAGGAACATTTTTAGGAAAATGTAAGCCTGAAGCTGTAGGGAACTCTGAGCCGTCCCTTGGTTGAGAAAGCTGGTCTGCAGGGAGAAATGATGCCATATGCCCTCAGAGAGAGGCTCAGAGAGAGTTCTGGAGACATTAAAGTCTCTAGTTTTTCAGTTTAATTGAATTTTTTTTATTCTGAGGGAAAGCCAGCACAAGACGGGGAGAGGGGCAGAGAGAGAGAGAGAGAGAAAGAATCCCAAGCAGGCTCCGTGCCAGGTTTGATCCAATGACCCTGGGACTGTGACCTGAGGCGAAATCGAGAGCTGGACGTTCAGCTGACTGAGCCACCCAGGCACCCCTAAAGTCTCTGGTTTGATTTGCTTATTTTATTTTAATTTACTTTTTCAAAGACTGGATTGGTTTTGAGCAGTTTTCCGTTCGCAGGAAAATTGAAAGGAAGGTACGGAGAGTTCCCGTTCACCCCTCCCTTACACAAGCTTAGCTTCCTCTGCCACCAGCACCCCCACCCGTGTCTCGCACTTGTCACAACCAATGAACTCACGCTGATACGTCATAATCACTTAGAGCCCAGAGTTCACATTCCTGTTGGCTCTTGCCATTGTATGTTCTGTGGGTTCCAGGATTAGGATGTAGACACAACTTGTGGGGGGCCACCACTCGACCCCCCTACTCTCACATCTCCAGGAGTTAGTAGATCAAGCACCAAGTCCAGGCACCCACGACCAGAGCCCTTTCTAAGGAATCAGCACGGATCCCAACAGGAAGAGGGCCTTGGAGTCATAGGACTGGGGGTTACCCAGACCCCTTTTCATAATCTTCTCTTTTAATTTACTGCTGGTGGAACGGGGGCCCCAATACCGTAAATGATTTGCACTGAATCTCGTGGTCCATTCTTTGCCAGAATCATCTATAATCTTGGCATGCCATCTGAAAAAAATCAAGCTCACTTCTAGAAGCTTCTGAGCTCTCTTTCTTCGGGGGAGGGGGAGGGGCGAGGAAGGTGACCTGGAGCCAGCTTATTAACTCATTCTAGAGGCTTCCAGGATTTTTATCACTATTATTTATTATTGGCAGAGGGAGAAGGGTTCCTTTGCAAAGGATCATAGCAGTCCACGTTGCAAAGCAGCTGGCTCTACACTTGATGGATGGTTGATTACACTTTATTAAAAGCCATTACAATTTCCAGCATTTGTCATACAAAACTATCTTCTAACAAATACCAGCTTGTTAGAGGCTGGCTGTTGGGAACTGAATCGGTCTTGTTTTGCTCCTACCTCGTCAACTCCAACCCTAGCACCCAATCAAACTTTGACAATCAAAACCCCTTACAAGTTTCCTAATAGATTCGAAACAGGTGGGGACAGCACGGTCTATTGCAGTAGCACCCAGAAAACATGAAACATATCAAAACCCACTCCCATCGTGCTTACTTGCTTCCCATTTAGAAAACCAGACAAGAAGCAGAGCTAAATGGACCATCTCTTTCTGTGCAAGCCATTACCAGCTAAACGCTTTAAAAAAAAAAAAAAAAAAACAAGAAGGAAAAGTAAAAAGAAACAGAAAGGAAGAAACCCAGAGCAGCCCCTGTTGAGCTCGCATAGTAATGAAAAGCAGTCTGGTTGCAGTGTTGGTGGTGATACAGGGCCTGGTGAGGAAATCTTGATCAAAGCCTCTTGGCATGTGAAGTCATCAGTAATTCGACAGCCTATTTGGGTGAAAAGAGCTCCTTTCTGGCTGTCCCCCTTCAGGCCCACCCCAGAGAGGGGCACGACTCAAGCAAACAAGGCCGCTGGCAAATCGAGGCACCTCTTCGCAGGACGTGATACGGAACACGAGTCAGGGCGGCCGCCGGAGGGCGCGATCGGGTTTCACTGGCCTGTCATCTGTTCTGGCCAGGCCTGAGCATCCTTCACAGAGCCCCGGGCAGTGGCCTTTGACCCAGAGAAAACTGCAAAGCAGCTCTCGCAGGGAGCCACTGCCCATCCAGGAAAGGGGAGGTGACAGCTTCAGGAATGGGAGAGTCCGATGGCAAGGGGTCAGTCTGGCTAATGACGATTTCATAAAACATTTTCTGCTAGCCACCTGTGTCAGACCCGGGCTGGTTCTTGGGGCCATGAGGATGCATATTCACACCCCCTGCCCTTGAAAAGTTCATAATCTAGTTGAAACGATAGACTATGAAAGTCCTATTACAATTCAGCGTAGTGAGTACTGTGAAAGGGAAGGCCACGGGCTATGAAGGGCTCCGGGAGGGCTCCGACCCCAGTGCCGGGAAGGCAGAGGAAACGGCCCAGGGGAAGTGACAACATCCAAGCGGGAACACATTTGGGGAGGGACCGTGAAACACATACCCTTCCCAAACGGAGTCTCCAAAATGGTCATTTTTATCATGCTTAAAGGTAATATTTATTGACAAAATTATTATTCACACCATGATGACAAGATACTAGCGGAAGAATTGTCTAATATGTGAACTGGTCTGTCAGTGGTCAGACTGTGATATGCACAGGAAAAAAAATCGATAGAAGGGCAAAACGTTAGTTTTGTTTACTTTTGTACCTATCGATGGTACAGCCATACGTCCTCCAGGTCCGTCCCCAGAAATGGATCTTCTGAATTCGGAATCTGGTTACGCTTTTGTTTCCAAAATGAGAAGGTCAGGAGGTAGAGAGGAGTGGAGGGAGGGAGCAAGAGAGGAGAGGACGGATTAAGCTGAGGGACCAGTGTGTGCAAAGGCACTGGGGCGGAAGGTGCAGGACAGGCTTGAGGAATCCTTAACACATCAGTTTGACTGGAATACAAATTTTGTTTAAGGGAGTTCTGAGAAAAAGCATTCGAAAGAGATTGGCGCCAGTTGTAGAGGTCCTTTGGTATCTAACCAGAGAATTTGGGTTGGGTTTTCTTCAGCAAGAAATGAAAAACCCAGCTTTTGAGCAAGGTGGTCATGGACCCCAAGTTGTGCTTTATGAACTCGACAGTGAATTCAACCTGGTTCTAGGTTTTGGGAGGGACACGAAGTTTGAATACGTGGTCATATCCCTGGAGGAGATAAAAATGGGGGCTGGGAGACCCAAGGCATATACACAGCAACGTCTAGAGAGTGATCACAAGTTCACATGAACAAGTGTGTCCAGGGCCTTGTCTTGTACTAACAGTTGGTCCCAAGGGTCCGAGTCACTTTGCCTTCCTGAGCTTCTGTTCCCAGATCTTTGAAATAGGCATTGCAATCATCATAGGCAATAAATGGGCTAAGCCACGTGAGGGTACCTGACAGCACTTTCCGAATGACAGATTCAGGGAAAATGGAGCTTCTGTGTTAGAAAGAAAGCTTCTCATCTTTGACGGATAAAAGAATCATTTTCCAGGTGTAGTAGCATAGGTCTCATTTTACATAGAGTTTTATATAAGGTTTTAGATAGCCCCTTTTATCCCCCTCCAAATTTAAGACGCTAGGATAAAATATGAGAAATCCCATGTAAAATGAAAGACCGTGGGGAAGGGGGTGAGGGAATGTGGCCCTCTTTGGCCCAGAGAACGGGGCTCTGATTCAGCTCAACATTCTTACCTTCGAGGCACCCTTGTAATCAGTAACTAGAAAACACCCAAATCCGAATGTGAACCGTCTGGGAAGAAAGCCTCATCTAGAACACCCAAACCTACTGGTCTTCAGAGACAGATCTCTATTTATTCCCTGACTGGACCAGAAGGAAGCGACTCCCGAGATGGAAACACGCAAACAAAGATGTTTGCGCAGCTCATTGTTGGCATAGTCTGTGTAACTTTGTATATGTTAATGCCAGTGTTATTGTTCAGAGGGGTCCACCCGAGAAGTTTTGGGATCGCCCTGAGGACCAAGGACATCACAGCCAATTACATCTGTAGGCATTTACTGGAGGGCAACTTCATTTTAGACACCATGCTCAGGCCTGGGGAGATGGAATTGGAGGGTCCAAAATTGAGTAATTACATCTTTGCCTTAAAGAAATTTACCACCCGATGGAGGAAGAAGGTGGGACTGTGAATGTAGACCAGTGATCTTAATGCAAGGCAGAATGTTAAGAAAAGAACTGAAATTCTATCAATTGTATTTTATTTTATTTGTGTGATGTGTGCTAAGCCTGATTTCAGACCCCAAATCAGAACACATAAATGATAGCTACGCTCACTCTGATTGGGAGAGGCAGAGTAAATACCAAATTACTGTTGAAATTTCTAAGGACATCTGCTAGGTTGATGGGTACAATTGGACCAACTATTTTAAATTGACACAGTCTCATAGATTTATTATAAGTAAAATGGAGGTACGTAAGGCAGATGTTGTAAAGTTATACAACAACAATTTTCTTCTGGAAGACCATTGCATTCATTTGGAAGAAATAACTTGATATCTTGTTTAGGGTAGAAAGTGAGACTCTAGGGGAATATCCGAGTAACAAATGCGAAGTCCCTGGGTGGACGCTAAGGAGGAAAGAAAATAGAGAGCTAATTGGGTGTGGTCCATGATATAAGGCAAAGAAAGAGACCTCCCCATGGGGAATGGAAGTTTGAGGAAGAGGGACCCTGGACAAGTGGGGATGACTAATGACCGAGGGTGAACATTTTTCCTTGTCAGAATCCCCCAGGAAATTCTACAGGAATGGGGGAAATGCTTGATGTTCAATGCTTTGCCATGGAAACTGGCCAAGGCGTGCCCAGAGTGACATAGGGGGAGGGCATAACCCCTGGAAATCTGCACGGTTCAGAAAGACACGATGCTGAGCGTTTGACCTGTTTGGATCTCAAGAGCTGGAACAAGCAGCTGGCATCTGAGCTACAAGTATAAACCTGCGTGATGCGAACATTAGAACAAGGGGGAAACTGAGTCCAACTGAGAAATAGGATTCCCTTTTCAGAGGAGGCAAAAAACAAACACCAGTGGTTCAAATCCACCCTGAGGAGTCCTCACTTTGGGTAGGATACAGTAGGCTTACCACTCCCACGATTCCTGAGCTCTAACTGAAAATCTTTGCATTTGAGTGTCCCAGGAGCAGAATTCTTATTTAAGTCCATGACTTTTTTTTTCTTAATGTTTCATTCATTTTTGAGAGAGAGAGAGAGAGAGAGAGAGAGAGAGAGAACGA